CGCTTAACCCCTTGCAGTTCAACCTCGGGTCTGCGCTGCCCTGGAGAGGTGCTCACCGGATCTTCTGATGTCACAGGCTTGGGACCATCTTACCCACTAGCCTCCAGGTACAGACTGGGAGACTGGGGCCCAGAGAAGTTTAGAGGCTTGGCCAAGGTCACACAGCTGTGCCAGGGAGGAGGCCTGAAGCCTCTATCCTCTGCTGGCTTCTTCGGTGGCTCCTTTCCTCCTGTGACCCCTTTCCTCCCGTGACCTTGGCCGACTGTACAGTGGGGGCTGAGACTGGATGCTCCCTGGGGACCTTCCAGCTCCAATACTGTTTGCCAAATGACAAAGGGATCCAGGCTGGGCCTGGACACTCCCCAGGGGGGGTGTGAGACTCCTCACCTCTGCCACAGCCTCACCCTAAAGTGGCCACAGCCACCATGGAGGTAGGGACCTGGCTGAGCTGGTGGATTTCCCTGTTGTAAGTGCCCCTGGCTCCCCAGGGGTCCAGGCACAGATTTATCCAGTGGCCCTGCCATCCTTCCCCAGGCTTCCCAGCGGGAGCCCCCTGAGCGCGCCAGGTGCCGGGTGTATGGCACACACAGTGCAGGTGGAGCGCTGCCCCCCTGCCCTGGGGACACACAGCCAAGAAGCTAGAGAGGTGTGCAGGGGACAGAGCCGGGGAGGCGCAGGGTGACCAGTGTCCCAGGCGGTCCTGGCATTTCTGACACCGGGGCTCACCCCTGAGCTGCAGAGTCTGCCTCTGGTCACCCGTAACTTCCAAGGTCCAGGTGACTGGGACAAAGAGCAGCAGGTTGGGGAGGAGGCCTGGGACAGGGCTGTGACAGCCACAGGGGTGGAGTCGGAGCAAGCCGCAGCAGGGCCACGGAGAGCCGGGGCCACGGAGAGCCGGCGGGGCTGGCCCGAGGCCAGCGGGGCCAGCCAGGGGGTCAGGAGCCACGGTGGAGAGGGCACGGGGTCAGTGGAGAGGGGCAGGGCTGACCCACGGTGCCAGCTCCCAGTGCTGCCCCACCCTCTATCCAGAGAGGCTTGAGAAACAAGCAGAACAGCCCTCACAGCTGTCCCAAAGCCTCCAGGTGACGGACAGTGGTGTCCCCATTGGAGAGAAGGCAATCCCAACCTGTGCCCAAGTCCCAGCCCCACTTCCTACTGGCTGTGACCTCTGACCTTCTTTAAGCCTAAGTCTCTGGCCTGTAAAGCAGGGCTAGGAGTAGCCACCGTAGAGCTGAGGCGACACCCACCGAGTGCAGGGCAGGGGACCCGGAGCAGCTCAGCCCGAGTTCAGTGAGCTCACTACCATTGCGGCCAGTGCTACTGAGGCCCAAGGCTCTGGTGCCCTCCAAGGGCTGGGCGGGAAGGCCTCTCCTCCAGCCTGGCACACCGTCCCCAGCAGTGGGGTCGGGGGGCGGTCAGTGGTGTGTGTGGCAGAGCCGGGCTGTACAGGCCCCTCTCCCAGCCTGCGCCATGGCTCCTCTGCCTCTCACCCACATCTGGCTGGCGGGCTCCAGGCCCAGCCCCAGCCCACCATGGAGCGGAGCCAAACCCCGAGGAGGCCCCAGTGGGCCATTGTGAGGGAGGCGGGCTCCCCGACTGCTGCCAATCACCCACCACCCTCCCTGCTCATTAATGCGGCAGCCCTGCCAGCCAGGCCAGGTGGCTCCTCCGGCAGGCGCCCACCCCCGAGGCCCCTGGATCGGCCAGCCCCTCTCAGGGGCAGCCTTAGCACTGGGGTGCTGGCTCTTAGAGCCCGGAGCCTTGCTGTCCCTCATCCCTGCCCTTGCTCACACAGCCTAGGGCACACCCAGGACACGGGAAGCCACAGCTGCTGACCCACTGGGCCCTGGACAGCCAACCTCACACCTGGTCCTCAGGCCCAGGGGTGTGGGGCAGCCACGGGGCTTCTGCCTCCTGGGGGAGCTGGGGTGGCAACCCCCGCCCTGCTGTGCTGCTCAGTCTCCGGCCCTCCCAGGCCTGCAGCCTCCCCCTGCCCTGGGAAGCCCCCACCCCCAGTTCAGCCACCCTCCTGCCGAGCTGCTGAGCTGACCCCGGCAGTTAAAATCCCCAGGGAGTCAGGTGAGGGTTTCAGGAGTGGCCTGGAAGTGGAGAGCCAACCCCACCTGGGAGAGCCAGGACAAGAGTCTTCCCTTCTTAGAACCAGGATTTAGAGATTCTCTCTGAGGCCATCAGAGATTATCTTCTAACCCTAAACCTCCGGGGTTCTCCGATCTATTTGCCCCACGGTCAGCACTGCCATGCCGGTGGGCAGCCGCAAGGGCACAGGGCCTGTGGGCAAACGGAAACTGCAGGTTTCCCTCTGGAAACTGTGTGGCCTCAGGAAAGTCACTTAACCATACTGAACCCCAGATGCCTTTATCTGTAAAATGGATACTGACTTTCCATGGTTCTGAGGGTGATAAATGAGGTCATGGGCCTATGGTTCTTGGCCTAGTGCCCACAGCAACTGCTCACAAACGATGGCTTTGGTCTTGGTGAAACACTCATCATGTGGCTTGGTTTATGAATCCCATATGCAAAAAGGCACAGCCCACCCTCCCAAGGGGAGGGAAACGCTGCCATCTCCTGGTGCCCCCAAACTAGTCCTGGGGGCCAGTGACCCAGCTAGAAATGGTGTCCCCACCCTGAGTAGTTCAAGAAGGGAGGAAACAGGCCTCCCTTGGCTAACTGAGGCACAGGTCACAAGGAGGGTGGACCCCGTGTACACCACAATTAATGCTTTTCAAGAAATCAAACCAAAAAAGTGCATATACCAGGACGCACTGCTAACAGCGAGGCTTCACCGAGCACCTACTGTGCGACCGATACCTTGTTAATACTCCTGCGTGGACTCGTTTTCACTTCTCAGTCCTGGGCCAATCCAAGGAGGCAGATGTTTCATGGGTGAGGAGCCTGGGCTTCAGCCAGGCTGTCCAGATCCAGAAAGTGCCGTCTCCATCACTTCATGACTGAGGCCTGCAGAGATGAGAAGGTTAGAAACAACCTCAGTGTCCAACAAAAGGGGATCCATGAAATGAATTCTATTTCCACTCAAAGGGATACTCTGAGCCACCATGGGCATGCATGCTATAGAGGAATAAAAATGGGTGAAAAATCATGATGCATTCAGCAAATGAGCTGGATATAAAGTGATACGTATCAAGTCTGAGTCCACTAAAGGGAAAGAAAATACAGTAAAACATGGAAGAAGAGAGGGAGACAAGGAAAAAGGGAGAAAGAAAATTTTTACAGAGATTATCGCTAGGTGAGTTGTAGGGAAGTTCACTTTTTCATTACGCATATTTTCTAAAACTAACAGTTGCTTGAACATAAGCATCAGATGAACATCTACTATGCTTGGAACACACACCCCCACTGGATCTTTCGAGACCTGGGGTGTGTTCCTCCTCAGTGTCCCCACCTACGGGGGCTGGGGAAAGTGAGGGCTGTGGGACTTCAGGGCTCTGGCATCCCATGCCTCCCACACCTCCGCCGTCCAGGGTCTCGTTCACACTCTATGCACACACGGCCACTACACAGCAAGCACATGGTCATGTGGACATCACAGAAAGCAAAGGAGCAATCAGCTCCAGTCTCACCCACTCAGCATTTTGGAGCATGATGAGTTGTCTCATTGGACCTTCCTAAGTAATCATGCATGTGATAGAGGGGAGAAGGCTCGGAGAGGTTATATGACTTGCCTGAAGTCACACAGCACAGTAGGGGCAGAGCTGGTCTGTATCCACAAATAATTACCCTTCAGAGTAATTCCTTATTTAAAGGGGCTGAGTGGAGCCCCTAGGACTCTGACTCCTCCCCCCAGTCCTTAGTCCTTGGCTGTGATCCCAGGACTCCAAGGATACTGACACTTGGGCTCTCATTATGGCTTTGATCCCTGTCTCTCCCAAAATAGGGAGATGCTGGCACGGACCTGAGATTGGTGTGGGAGCAGCCCTGGGGTCTCATTTGGCAACCACAATGGAGTCTGGCTGTACCTGGCAGGGGACAGCAGGGTCCAGAGGGGACAGCAGGAGGGGGGAGGAGGGTCCGGGTGTCTGGGGCAGGATGGCCTGGGTCCTGAGCGGGTGGATCAGACCTCAGCTGATTTGCTTCCAGACCTCTGATGGCCTCATCGACACCGGAGGACGAGGCTTCCCTGGGGTGAGCAGGGACGGCAACAGGAGGACGTGATTCCACTCGGGGCACAGGGGGCCCGCACGGAGCAGGGCTGCCGTGAGCCTCTCCCACGCCCCCTGAGCTCAGTCTTCAACGCCTCGCGCAGGCTGCTGGCTAACTCTCCCGGGACACCATCCTGGTCAGGCTTTTCCCCGGTGAAAGACCACTGAGGGCTCCGGTCACCTGGAGGCTCAAGGCCAGTCATTCTGGCCTGGAGTCTGGGCTCACAGCGGCCTCTTCCTGGGCCAGGGGGCCACCACTGTGACTCGCACTGTGGACTGAGCCCCATGGCTCTCAGGCTGCCTGACCAAAGTACACTGCTGTGGGGGTCAGGCCCCTGAACGGCCCGGAACCCCCAATCCCAGCCACTCTGTAGAAGCAGGGCTGGAGGCCCCCTCAGGGCACTCTGCATACAGCTATTGAAAAACAAAAAAGGACAAGAAAAAGACCCCTTGTGTTATTTACTGATTTCCTCACCGTGGCCAATTTCAAGCCGCCAACATGAAATTACTGAACACAGCCCTGGGTAGAGGGGCACCATCAGCTTCCACACCCCTGCACATCCCAAAGTAAAGACAGGCTAACCCTAGAGAAGAGCTGCGTGACTTCAGACTTAACCTCTCTGAACCTCAGGCTTCTTGTCTGTAAAATGGGGACAACAATTACATCTACTTCAAGGCAATATCATGAAATGAAATTTCAGAATCTAGTAGGGCTCTGTACTGGGCACTGGGGAATGACAGTGGGGACAAAACGGAGGAGAGCGCCTGCCTTCCTAGACCTCCTTGCAGTAGAACCCAGGCAGAGGCTAGAAGCCAGCACTCATCGTGGTCAGAAACATTGTTGTCACCGTCCCTTCCTTTCTCTGGGCTGACCTTGGAACGTGGGAGCAGAAGCTGTCCAGGATGCCAGATGCCACCCACTCCAGCCTTGGGAGGTGCTCAGGTAAGCCCTGCCCTGCCCTTCTCACAGAAGGGACAGCGAGGCTCTGGGAGCTGGAGGACCTGGCACTCAGGGGCCCTGTGGCGGCTTTAAACTCCCTCTTCCTCCTGCTCCCTCCTGGGGTGCAATGAAATGTCCGCGGCAAACTGGTTCCCAAAACACCCTCCCAGCTGACAGCTCAGCCTGGACCCGCCCCAGTCGCTGGAAATCCCAGCCCCTCCGCCTCGGGAGGCGGAGTCTGCGGGACGGTGGGGGCTGATGAAATCCCCTCGAAACAGCCTCAATCACATGTTTCAAATGCAAACCAGCTGGCCTTTGGGAGGCGTGGGCACCTTCTTCCTCCCACGAAAGAGCAGAGACTGCCTGTGGGGATAAACCCGAATGCAGTCCCCAGAACACCATAGGTTCCATCCCACTGTCAGTAGGTAAACCAGACTCAGGGTCCCGCAGCCCCCGTCCCTAATCCACGGGCACCAATTCTGTTTGCCTAACAAAAAAGTCAAAAAGTGAAACCCACCAATTCCACAGGAGGCACCTGGACAATTATTTTGGGAAGTCCCTGTCTGTATCTAATCTTAGCCCTTTATGCTTCATTTTCAGTCCATTCCTCCTTCTGATCTACAAGAACAGAAGAACAAAGTCTCTTTTCATTGCAGCTTCTTTTCTCAGCCCTAAAATAGCTTGGGTTTGCTATCAGCAACCCTCCTTTCCAACTTTCTCATTCAGAAGCAAAAGGTTTTTAAACCTGAGTAAGGATCTGCTCCACGCTGTCACTTCTTTCAACTAAAGCCTGGGAAAGGAGCATTGGAAAAGTCACGTCCAAGATCAACCCAGCAAGCAGGCTCTGGTTTTGCCAGCGGCAGGCAGCAGTCCCAGGACGCTACCCCGCAGTGCGCCCTTGGGCAAGCTGGCCTCCTCTCTGGGCCTCAGTCCTCTGGTGTGTACCAAGAGGTGACTGGCCTTAGTTCTGCAGTTCGTCCCGGCTCCTATCACTGTCCAGACTGCCCACTGCACGCTAGGCCTTGCTCTCCCTCCCTCCCCCTGCCAAAAAAAGAGGAAAAGAAACTTGCGTTAGGCGTCCGGGGAGGGAGCGCGGCTCGGAGCCGCCGGGTTGCGCGGGCCGTTGCCGGGTGAACCAACCTCGCACAAATCCCAGAACTGCAAAGCCCCACCTCCCCGGTAACCACAGCGACCCGGGCCACGCCTCCGGCCCCCGCAGCCCCCGGCTCCCCGGGGACCCCTTCGCTCCCTGCGATCGGCCCAGCCCGAGGCAAACGGCCGACGCCCCCACTCTGCGAAGGTGGAGACTGAGGCCCGAGGGCGGAGACGGGTCCCGGGACCGCGCCCATTCCCGGGGCCGCAGTCCTTCTCCTCCCGCGGCGCGCGGGGTTTCCACGTGGGGAAGACCCAGAGCAGCGCGGGCCCTGGGGAGGGAGCCCACCGCGGCGGTCCGGCCTCCCTCCCCTTGTCCAGGCCGAGAAACTGAGGCCCGCGAGGGGCCGCGCCCGGCAGGAAGCCCCCGAGCTCCTCCCAGCGCCTCACCTGCTGGGACCCGCGCGGGAGGTTTCCTGGAGTTGAGCGGCAAACAAAGGCCTCCAATCCGCGCGCGGGGCGGGGCGCGGCGGGGCGGGGCGGCCGCCTCTGAGCTCCCTGCGGCCGACCCCCGGCAGCGGGAGGCGGGGCCTGGGGCGGGGCCTCGTGAAGCTCCACCAATCCCAGGGAGGCGGCTGCTGCGGCCCGCCCCCAGGGACTGGGACTCCGGGGAGCCGGCTCGCGGCTCGGGACTGAAAAGCTCACTTCTGGTAGGCAGCTGCTTCGGACTGGAGTGCCCCGGGGAGTCCCCGAGGAGATTATCGCACGGGGACACCCGGAGGAAGAAATCACAAGCTTATGGCTGAAATGGTCTGCTTCATAACCTAGCAATAAACTTTATTGGGCCGGAGAGGGACAATAACTGCCCGAGATCGCGCAGTGACTTCAGGACAATACTGTCCCCCCAAAGCGCACCTTGAACAATGGCCTTATTGTAGGGTGTCAAGCTGAACTAGGCTCTTGTGCCACTTACTGCCACTGAACTGCCACAAATGTGACTCATAACCTTCGAGACTCTCCACCATCCCCTCCCCGCCTTTGGCATCATGAGTAAAGATGTCAGGGCCACAGGTGTCCATGGCCTGGGTGGACCTCTGACCCCCCCCCCCCCCCCCCCGGCCTCCCCAGCATATTGGTCCCTTAAAAGACACCAGGGCAGCCGGGCGCGGTGGCGCATGCCTGTGATCCCAGCTGCTTGGGAGGCTAAGGCAGGAGGATTGGGAATTCAAAGCCAGCCTCAGCAAAGGTGAGGCATTAAGCAATTCAGTGAGACCCTGTCTCTAAATAAATACAAAATAGGTCTGGGCATGTGACTTAGTGGTCAAGTGCCTCTGAGTTCAATCCCCAGTACCAAGGGGGCGGGGGGGGGGAGGGGTGGGGGAACACCAGGGCAGGTGTTTGTCCTGGGCCTTTGTGTTGTGGAAAGAGCAGGCCTGGGCCTCAGGCCACCAAGTCCAAACCTGCCCTTCCTAGCTGTGTGCCTTGAGCAATTTGACCTTTCCAAACCACTTGAAATGCAGCTTTTGGGTTTAGAGACCTGCAGCAGGGAGAAATCCACACACCCAACAAATAGCAGCACTAGAGTCAGGCCCAGGAATTCTGGAGGGGTCTGTCTGTCCCTCTGTTCTTTGACGGTTCGACCAAGTAAGGAGATGGTGGATTCAAGGCAGGGACATCACCACCCGTGCTGGAGTTCACAGAGCAGGTCAGTGACTGACCTCAGGTTTCCATTGCTAACCAGTGACCTTGGAGCTCTCCATTCAGCGTAGACACACCAGGGCTTGGGCCCCGGAAGTTTGGCATTCACAAGGCCAGCGGCTCCTGGAATCCTCCCCGCAGGGCCAATGTTGGTCCAGAAATTGAGCCCTACACCGCATCCCACCTCCACTGCAGGGAAGTGGCACTGTCCCCACGGTATCAGTGTCCTTCAGCTGCTGTGACAACTACCGCTTTTGGTGACTCTGAACAGCATGCATTTGTTCTCTTATAAAGACAGGCAGGTCAAAAGTCCAAAGTCAGGACCACTGGGTGGGTTCTCTGCAGGGAGAAGCATCTGGCTTCTGGCTGCCCATGGCCGCCAGCACCCCTTAGCGCCTGAGTCTATCCTTCATCTTCAAAGGGTTCTGCTCCACCTGCTTCCCTCAGCCCAGCCCCTCTCCTCTTCTGCATCAAATGTCCCTCTGACTCTCTCTTAAAAGGACACTGATGACAATGGCCCACCTGGATACTCCAGGACCTTTTCCCCAACTTAGGACTTGAACTTCACCACATCTGCAACTGCTGGCTGAGGTGCTGCTCCCAGGTTCCAGGTGTGGGGATCTAGTTCTTTGGGGGGGGGCTATTATTCAGCCCACCATATATTATAGGACCCTCGGGGCTCAGGTGAAATAACTTGCCTGTGACCGTGGGGTTGGCCCCCCTGAAGTGGGACAGTGTAACAGACCCTGTGGGAGAAAAAGGGCAAACAAGGCCCCTTGAAAGGGCTGGAGCCTCAGGTGGTTTGCCCAGCTGGAAAGGGAACGGGGACAGCTAAGAGTAGGATTTCGAACAAGACCCTGGAACCAGTGCCCCATAACTACCCCCCCCACCACCCCGAGCTCTGGACAAAGGGCTGGGCAAAGTAGGACTTCTTACACCTTTCCTTCACCAGACAGTTCCTGGACAGGAGAAAATGGGCACTGGGGCTGGCCCTGAGCCCCTACGTCGTTTCCTTCATCCTCCCCAACCTGAGCCTCCAACACCCACTGCCCTTGACTGCTGAACTGCTGGGCCCGAGCAGGCAGGAGAAAGCAGAGGTGACTGGGTGTTCACCGTCTTGCCCAAGGACCGGCAGGCACAGAAGCCCAGCCCTGCCTTGAGTGGCTACCACTGCAGGTCTCCCTTACACTCCAGGGTCCCGGTGGGTAAGGCGGAAGCTGCCCTCTGGGGACTGAAATGTCCAATCCCCTGGCTTCCTGCTGTCCCTGTCCTGCTCCCCCTGGGAGCAGCTCCCTAATGAATCACTTGCATATAAATCCTGGGCTGAGTCAGCTTCCGGGGGAGCCGACCTGCAGCCAGAAATCCGTGCTTGCTGGGTTCTGCATCATGCTGTGCCTGTTTTACTCTAAAAATATGATCTCTACACACTTAAGTTTTATCCTCAAACCTTCAAGGAAGGTGCTTCAAGATGCAGGTGAGGCTCGGGCGCCCCTGCCCACCCCGCCGTGAATCCAAGACATGGGGCAGGGGTTTCAAGGTGGCCCTGCGCGGTGCTTTCCACCTGTCCTGCGTACCCCTCCACATCGAGCACTCAGAACCCAGCCACCTAGGCCGACCACACAGCACTCTGGCCCTAACCTTGTTCAGATTTCTTTATTGAAAAATTAAAGTCGTAAGCTCTGTATATAAATACACTGACCCTGCTGGTCATCTGCAAGGCCTCCAGGACAGGCTGGGGGGGGGTGGGAAGCTGGGGCCGTGGGGTCCCCTGGAGTGCGGGGAGGAAATAAATAATAAATACTGTGGGGAGAGGAGCCAGGAGGAAGGGTGTGAGTGGGGGCGGGCTTGATGCTTGTTTGTGGCACTGAAGGTCTTGCAAGATGCCCCGCAGGAAGCCGTGTCCGAGGTCTCCTGTGTCCTTGCTCCAGAGGCTCAGGCATCTGGGGGTGGGCTGGGTGCTAGCTGGCTGGGGACAGGAGTGCCACCCTCCAGCCAATGGAAGCAGGCACTCTGCCCTTCCTCTTCTGTCTTCCTTCCCAGAACCTCTAGTATTGAGCGCCCACCGGGTCCCCGGCACCCCAACTCTGCCCTGCCATCTGTCGGCCTTGCCCAGTTCTCTTTTCTCCCAGTTCTGGTGCAGTGGGCCAGGAGGGAGTGGGGACGCCTTCCTGCCACCCAGGCCACGCAGCCCCTCCCCCTCGAGGAGCCTGAGAGTGGCAGGACAGGGGAGGGACCCGGGGCTGGGCAGTAGTGGGAGGCCCTTAGGCCTCGGCCCCTAGAGCATCACATTGAATTCGGTGACCAGGAAGTCGATGTAGTCACGGTCCTTGGTCTTGAAGGCCTCGGCGATGATGCGGGCAGCCTCCCGATGCTCCTTGCCCCGGAGCGTCAGCCCATTCACTTCCAGGATCACGTGGCCCACCTTGAGCTGCCCACAGTTGTGGGCTGACCCGCCTCGCTGCAGGGTGAGACACAGGGCAGGGGTCACATGGGGCACCTGAGCGTTAGGCGGGCCTGGCTCTGACCACCCCCTGCGTAGCCTGACACTGCCAACCAGCAGCCCCCCCCCCCCCCCGGCTTCTGCTGCCACCCAGCACAGGTGAGGCGAGCTTCCTGGGCCTGGTCCAGTGGGTCGATGTCCTCTTGCTGTCCTGCCCACAGCCTGATACCTCAAGGAGTCCCAGTGCCTGGGCAGGGGCTGTCCTTGGATGCTGTCATCTCGGGGTAGCAATTCCCCAGGGATCCTGAGACATGGGCTATCAGGAGTAGAAAGATGGTCAGCAGGGACCCTCAGGTGTACCTGAATGGTGACAATCCTAGGCAGGGGCTGGCGTGTGTTGGCGCCACCCTCGATGGCGATGCCCAAGGTAGCTGCACTTTTCTTCACGCGGACCAGGGTGGACGTAGGCTCCAGGAGTCCAGGCTGCAGGTGTAAGGAAGGTGACCGCAGGCCTTCTCA